TTTTTTTTTTTTTTTTTTTTAATTTTTATTTTCCTTCATTTTTTTGGTGGGAATTTCCTTTAGTGTTGGCTTCAGAGTATTTCCTATCTTCCCTTTCTTTTGTTCCCTACTTTTCTTTAATAGAAAGTTGTATTTTATCTCAATGAAGCTTTCATTTTTAGGACTTAAAGATGAATTTCATGACAATTTGAGCTATGTTGATGATCACTTGCAAGAGCCTGAGGCAGTAGGTGAGAAGGAAAATATTTACGGCAAGAAAGGTTATGATGGAAAGGTTGATTTGCGGGGAAATAAAAGTAGGCAAGATGCTGAGAAATTGGCAATTGAATTACTTGCAACAAGGTAACTGTATGTAAATTGTGATTCCTGTCTTTTAATTTTGGAATCTGCACTGATCTGATTGAACTGGTGACACTGTCAAAGTAACACAAAACAAGTTTTGGACAGATTTGTGTGAGAATATTCTGCTAGGACTTTGAATTATACGTGTACTGGTCTTAAAATTTTGCAATTTTGTGGTGAATTTGACTCGAGAGTAATAATAGAATTTTTAGAGCGGTGAGAGATCAGATGAGCGATTTACAAGAGGGGGAGATAGAAATCCCTACATGCCTTTGGGTTTCAAAAAAGAGGCTCAGCTAGTGTAAATCTGAGTTAGGCTATATCTACAAAAAAGAAAAAAGAAAGTTCAAAAGAAAAAAAAAATTGAAGTAGAACACAGAGTAAAAACAAATAAAGTAGCTTATCCGAAAAGACATTTCCATTCATTTCTTGACCACAAAAAATTCTGGAATTCCTTCCAAACTTAAGTGTCAAGAGGAGGGCAAAGACTCCATTGGAGCTCCGGCCCGAATAGAGCTTACCTCCGACACCTGGCTTTCTCTGGCGCATATTAGCTTAGCTGCGCTTAATAGGCCGTTTGGCTCCCTCTTTGGTGGCCTCCTTACCTTACCCACCCTACACTCCCACCCCAAGCTATGCCTACTGAGCAAGATGCATTACGATTTCCTCTTCTGTGGACGCATTAGAATATGATCCGGGACGAGAAGAGAAAGATTTTTTTCTCTCGCGGGCTTTCTCTCGTAAAGCCAAGCCCCAAGACAAGGTACAATTGTTGGGAAGGGGACATGAGAAAGAGAACCTAGCTGGATTCGGGCTGGTCTCGTGGTGCCCAAAGGATTTTTGCCTGAGCTTTAAAATGATGGCCATCAATGAGTTGCTTGACCTACTTTTGTAATTTGTTACCATACATGTATTTTCTTTTGCAAGAAGAATATTAAGCTTGTGATTGCATTCTACAGAGCCTTCACTGCAGTTGAGCTGAGGAAGAAATTGCTTGGCAAGAGGTTCTCTCCGGGCACAGCGGAAGCAGTGATCAATGATTTCAAGAGCAGGTCCTGAATGGCTACGTAACTTATAATTATGTTATTTCTCGACAAAATTAACCTTCTACACTTGACATGATAGATATGAATTTTGATGTCTAATTCAACCACCGTTGCAACTCATATGACATTAATCTTAGCCCTTCAATTATATTTTAGGGGGTTGATCAACGATGGCCTGTATGCTGAAGGATTTTCTCATTCAAGGTGGTCGTCCTCCAGTTGGGGACCCAGGAAGATCAAGCAGGTACGTACTTCTATTTTCATTTGCGATCCAGCTAAAGCGTTGATCTTCTTTATTTTCTCGTCTATTTCAACCTTTTCACTTCTCATCGTTGATAAGAAAGCTAGTCGATAGGACTAGAGAAACTCGTTTACCAATTGGGAACTTTTTGTTATGATACTGAGAATGAGAGGCTAATTTTCGAACCAGGCACTTGTAAACAAGGGGATAGGAGGGGAAGTTGCTGAGAAAGCAATTAAACTTGTTTTTGAAGATGGTGAAGAGTTTGGTGATGAAATGTCAAGTGTGAGTTTGTCAAAGATTTCAATGGATCATTTATTCGTTCGAGCCTCGAAACAGTGGCTGCGAGGTCGGGATATACCGAAAGAGACTAGAAAATTGAGAATAGTTAGGTGGCTTCAATACCGGGGTTTTGACTGGGGTGTTACTAGAGCCATTCTTAAGAAGTTAGAAACCGAGTACCCTCCTTAGTATTCTAATGAAGATTTTCAAGGATTTCCAGGCCTTTGATCCTCATCTGCTTGGGAAAGTATTGATTTTTGGAGAAATGGCTGAAACCAAAACTGTTCACCTCCTGAATTGGCACATTTGAGATCTGATTGCCCTATGGAGAATTGTTCTTCCTTTGTACAATGAATGAATGGTTGAGTCCCTGTTTATGATACCAAGTTTTGGTTTGATTTATATTATTGGGTTTCCTTCTCCCTCTCTCTCTCTTTTCAACACAAATATTGAATTAATGAAATTTCGAGACCAAAAGTAAAACTACCGTAAGGAATAAGATCTTGTAGCAGGGGTGTACATTAAACCCAACCACCCGGACCAACCCAATTCGAACTATAAGGGTTGAGTTAGGTTGGATTAGCATTTTGGGTAGGGTTGAGTTCATTTTTCTGAACTCGAATTGAATCGGTTCAGTTTTCGGGTTCGTGGGCAAAACCCTCGAGTTAACCCGAGTCAAACTTAAATATATAAAATATATTAAGAATTTTTTTCTTACCACTCTGGTCAGTCGAGGAGACTCATGCCCAAGTTCGAATCCAGGCAAATATATATATATATATATATTTTTTAGGAACTCAATAAGCATCTATATATATATATATATATTTTTCCTTATATATCATATCTTTAAATTAATTGTTTTTATTGTTTATTTAATTTTATGTTATATCTTTATATATATTTTTTTATTTTAACCAATTTTCAGTAAATTTAGGTTGTCTTTTTTATTGATTTTTTTATTTTTATTTTTTATTTATGAATAATTATGGATTGATTTGTGTTTTTTTGGTGAACTTTTAATATATTTTATTTAACATTGTATTTTTTTTCTTATATACCATAGTTTATTGTTTATTTAATTTTATGATATATCTTTATATATTTTTTTTTCTTTAACCAATTTTTAGGGTTGTTTTTTATTGATTTTTTTATTTTTTATTTATGAATCATTATAGATTGATTTGTGTTTTTTGGTGAACTTTTAATATATTTTATTTAACATTGTATTTTTTTTTTTCTTTAACCAATTTTCAGGTAGGGTTGTTTTTTATTGATTTTTTTATTTTTTATTTTTTATTAATGAATCATTATGGATTGATTTGTTTTTTTGGTGAACTTTTAATATATTTTATTTCAAATTGTATTTTTTTTTCCTATATACCATAGTTTATTGTTTATTTAATTTTATGATATATCTTTATATATATTTTTTCTTTAACTATTTTTTATTTTTTATTTTTTATTTATGAATAATTATGGATTGATTTGTGTTTGTTGGTGAACTTTTAATATATTTTATTTTTAATATATTTTATTTAACATTGTATTTGAATAATTATAAATTATAGATAAATAAAAGTTAAAATTTTTTTTTGACTAACCCAACCGAAAATATTGGGTTGGGTTGAGTTGTGAAAAGTTTTGGGTTGGGATTGATAGGGTTGGGCTAAACCTAACCCGGACCATGTACACCCCTATCTTGTAGCCTTCCCAAACACACTTTAAATTTTAGATAATTCAACCATATCCTCCCCAATGACCGTGACCTGAAAGGCCCATATTTTGCACAAAGTTCGGGTCGGGTTTAGCCCAAGAGTTGATCTTTGATGGATTTGTGCAAGAGGTTCAAGACATTGGTTGGATATGAACGTCTTGAATTTGGATTGAGCTATGGATTAGTCTACTAATTAAGCTATACACAGGCTATCGATTTGAGTCATATTTGTACGTGGGAGAATTGACGTTAAGGCAAGTACAGTAGAATTGATTTACACCGCCAAGATTTCACATTTTCAAAATCGAATGAATTTAGTCCTTTTTATTGCCACCATCATATTAAGATTTGTATAAGAGCAATTAATATAAACGCATATGGAATAATGACTTTCTTGGTTTCAATAGGACGTCTTAGGAGGGTTGTTCGTATCTACTATTATCTCATAGCAACTACTTTTAAACTTATTAAAAATATAAGGACTAAATTCAATTCAACATTTTGTTCGTTGGGCCCAAACTACAAGACAAAGAGGTTGTATGCTTTAAGGAAAATAGAGGTAAGCATGTGACCCAACCCCTATGGTCGGGAGCTATTGAGTCACCAGAGGAACCATTTGTTGCTCGTCAAATATCGCTAGTCGTTAGAGGTAAGCATGCGGGTGTCCCAATCACACTCTTGTGGTAATGGGATAACAATTTTGTAGCACTTGTTCTAACTCGGTGAACATGTCAGTCATACGAAAGTCAGACTTTGTGGACAAACTTACATATGATCAAGCCTCGGGTCCCGTTTGAAAAAAATTATTTTAGAAAACATGAGTAAGGAAATGTATGGAAAACCATTTGAAAAAAAAAATATTATAACAACAACCACAATTTTGATAGCATATAACTCTGGTGGAAAGAATTGACAAATAGTCACATTCTCTATAATACATTTAGAGACATGATTTTGGTAATCGATACACCTTGGATTGACACAACATGAATAGTAAAGACCCATTTAACATAAAAGGATGTAAAAGAGGTTTGAAACAGGCATGTAACCATCAACAACATGGCTGGAACACGAACACGAAGGAAGTTCACGTTCAGAAGAGGGTTGTGCTCTTGTTTCTTCCTTGAGAATAGAAACAAATCATTGATAGTCATTTGCTAAGTCGAACATATTTCATTGTTCAATCGTTCAGTTATTTGTAGATATTTGATGTTTGAAGTTTTTTGTAATTGATTTTTCAGTTCTACAAAGGAGATTTGCAATACAAAGATCCTTGAGACGAAAACTTCCTCTGCAGGGTCGATTGAATCACCACCGGCTTTTCCGCCTTGGGGTCATCGGCAGCAGCTTTCCCCACTTCGACACTTCGAATCTCCTCGAGCATGGCGACTATACTTTTCATGGGGGGTCGATCGTCGGACTTGACGCTGACACAGATCAACGCGACGTCTAGGGTTTGAAGAATTTCGCGCATTGTGGGTTCGGTTCTTTCTCTAAGCTTCGAGTCTAAAATGTCGGCTGGGTTTTTCTTTGTGGCTAAATGGTCTCTAACCCATTGCGCCAAATTGCCTTCTCCAGGTAATGTCGGGTCCAGAGGGTGCCGCCCTGTTAGAACCTCCATTACCACTATACCGAAGCTGTACACATCGCTCTTCTCTGAGACTGTCAATATCGACCCATGTTCTGTAATCATCAGGTAATTATGAATCCATGGGGTTTATTTGCCGAAGGGTTTGGAAAGGGGGGGTTAGAAATGAACATACCTGGAGCCATGTACCCGAAAGAGCCAGCAAGTTGTCTGAGTATTGGCTTCTTTGAAGCATCATTGCTGTTGTTTGTACTCACATTACTGGCGAGACCAAAGTCGGCTAGGTATGGCTCAAAGTCATGGCCGAGCAGGACATTCAGTGTTTTCACATCGCCATGTACGATTGGTGGAGTACAATCATGGTGAAGATATGCTAGAGCATGAGCCACTCCTAAGAGGATGTCGTATCTGGCCTCCCATTCTGCTCCTCCTTTTCCATTGTCATGGATAAAAGAGCTCAAGCTTCCATTTGGAAGATAATCATAAAACAGGAGCTTCAAATTCCTGTGGGATCCCCAACCCAGTAGCCTTATTATGTTCTTGTGTCGAATTAATCCCAAAGTACGGATTTCAGAGTTGAAGCCTCCAGATTCGTCGGTTGACCACATTTTCTTCACTGCCACTGTTTTCCCTTTTGGGGTTGTGATTCTGTACACGGCACCAGAGCTTCCAGCACCGATCACGTTCGATTCAGTTAAGTTTTTAATGATGTAGTCGATTGAGATATCAAGTTTTTGAAACAGGGTTATTTCCCATTTATCGCCATCTATCAGTAGCATGAAATTAGCCATTTGTGTGCGAATTAGCAAGTAGATCGCTAAAAAGAAAAGCACTGCACTTATGCTGATCAAGATTGGCAGGACTATCTTTATTGCTTCTTTGCTTACGTTTCTGGATTCAAACTTGCCTTCAGGAATTACTTGCTCGCCTGAAACATAGAGGTCTTTGTTTCCAGCAATGGCGCTTTTACTGAGCTTTTGAAAGAATGGCGTGTCGGGCAATTCGCCGGAGAAGTGGTTGTAGGAGATGTTTAGAGTCACAAGGTTTTCAAGCTCTACAAGAAGGCTTAGGTCCCCAGAGAGGTTGTTATGGGAGAGGTCTAGAATACTTAGCCTGACGAGACCAGAGAATTCGGACGGGATTTCACCTGAGAAACGATTCCAACTTAGATTAAGAGCAATGTCAAGTGAAGAAATTATACCTAATTGCTTAGGGAGTTCCCCAGAGAAGAAATTGTTGCTGAGGTCTAAAAATTGAAGCTTTTGACAGGAAACAATTTCTGCTGGGATTTGCCCTGAAAGTTGGTTGTTTCTCAGGTCAAGTTTTGTTAGTTCCGTCAAAGCTCCGATGCCCGGGTTGACCTGACCTTCAAGCCTGTTGTTGGATATATTTAAAAACTGTAGGCTCATCGGCAGTTCGATTGGAAGAGTACCGGTGAACTCATTTGAACTGAGGTCAATAAACTGAAGAACGTCACAGTTCGATAACGATTGAGGAATTTCTCCAACAAAATGGTTTTCAGCTAAGTCCAGAAAATCTAAGCTCTTCAAATGTCCCATCTCTGATGGAATAGTACCTCCAAACCTATTCTTAGCCAGTCGAAACCTCGATAGTGTCCTACTATGTCCTATTTCAGGTGGAATGATTCCCGATAGATTATTTCGTATGAGAAGAAGTTTCGTGAGATTTTTCAAACCGAAGATCTCTTTCGGTATTGAACCCGTCAAGTGATTGTACGAGAAATCAATGGCCTGGAGATCAGGGCAGTCTGAGAGAGTGCTGGGAATACTGCCTGTTAATTTGTTCTCCCAAGCAAAAAATAAATGCAAGTTCTTAAGGTTGCCTACCGAAACCGGTATCTCGCCCGAAAGTTTGTTGTTGTCTACTTCCACATGAACCAAAGTCGAACAATTAAACATTTCCGGAGGTATTGAACCCGTAATCTGATTAAGACTTAGTTGAAACTCTTGAAGTTTAGGTAGCCGTCCTATACTTTTCGGTATGGTTCCATTTAGAAGATTTTCGGAAACGTCTAGGATTACGAGTTCCTCGCAGTCTCCAATCTCTTCTGGTATAGATTCTTCCAACAAGTTCAACCATAGAAAAAGTGTTTGAAGCTTTTTCAGCTTCCCAATTCCTCTAGGTATCCGCCCAGAAATGCTATTCTGATACAATATAAGAGTTTGCAACTCACTGCAGTTTCCGATCTCTTCCGGGATTGTGTTGAAAAGTTGTGCTTTATATATGACTATGTTCTGTATATTTTTCAGCATCCCAATCGATGAAGGAAGAGCTCCGAAGATTCCAGTTTCGGCTAGGCCTAACATGACTAAACTGCTGCAGTTTCCAATCTCCATTGGCAATTTACCTTCCAGAAGTTTATTCCCTCCAGCTCTGAAAAGATTAAGCTTCTGCAACATTCCAATGCTCTTTGGAATCTCCCCACTGATTTCATTGTCTGCGAGTCTAAGATACACGAGGTTCGAAAGATTCCCAATCGTTAACGGTATCGTCCCTTCAAACCCATTGCTTTGAAGGGACAAATCCTCCAGCTTCCCCAGCCTGCAAATCTCTTCTGGGATTTCTCCCAAAAGGTTATTTTGGCTAAGATCAAGAACTCTGAGCTCGTTATAATCTCCAAACTCTTTCGGGATTCTTCCGGTTATATTCGTCTCAGATATCACCAGGGTCCTCAAGAACTTAAGAGCCTGGAAATTCGATGGCAATGTACCTCGCAAATCCAGTGATGCCAGGGTTATCTCCTCTACATATCCATGGGAGTCGCAGACAACTCCAAACCATGAACACGGTGTCGGGTCCTCTGGATTCCATGTACTCAAAGCATCTGTAGAGCTCGTTAGATTACTCTTCCATGTGAGAAGAGCTCTACCCTGCTCATCAATGGAGTAACAACATGGAAAGAGACGGATACTTAGTGATAAAATCAAGGCTATGGTGAAGAATTGAGAAGGAATAAAGGGATTTCTTAGAATTGCAGCCATTGTTCTTCAAAACTTATGATACAAAATGATCTGATTTGGATTGAACAAAGGGGAAATCCATGTTTTGTTTATAGGAGAAGAAGAAAAAGAAGAACAGAGGTATGTGAATTCAAGATCCTTCTCTCTATTCCTTCTCTGGTTTGGTTCTTAGTTCTTAATACGGGAATATGGTTTTTTCTCTCCCTGTTTTTAATCTTTATTAAGCAAACAGTTCATTTTTCCTTTTGTTCTTTCCTTTGGTTAGCAAATCCTCATAAAATGGTTGTTTTTTTTTTGTTAAATATTCACCTTAGTTCATAATGTTTTAGGGAAATTCTCAACTTAGTCCTCTTAACTTTTTAAAATTCTCAATTTGTTCTATATCATTTTGTTCTTCTCTGTTTACTGAAAGGTGATTGATTGATCAATAATTTATGCTTTTATTGGACAGGTGCATTCCATGTGTCGTGTTCGATACGAGAATATGTTGATGCTTCGATTGAGAAAAGTCAAAAGATGAGGGGTAAGTTTAAAAATTTTAAAAGATTGAGGACCGAATTGAGAATTTTTCGAACGATGGTGGTTACTCGTTTTTTTTTTTCATTAGTTGCAACATAAGTTGTTGGGGGAGTTTTGTTTATGGTAGGAACGATTAGAAATGACACGTCTTTTCTATTGATATGAACTACTTTAGCCAACTTATATGGTTATTTATGGTTAAAATATAACCTCTTCATATGGCTATTTGAATCAAGGTTTCGGGTTGATCGACCTCTCGACATTGGAGAAACCGTCGAGGTCTTGGCCTTAACTTGAATATAGTAATGGATAACTACGCCCTTGGAGACTGATTTTTTTAAAAAAAGATGAGTGTTTTTAGGTAGGAATGTATTTTTTTGTATGAGGATTGGAGTGCTGTGTTCAACAAGACAGAGGAGGTTTATAGTTAGATAAATTGGGTCGGGGATGAAATTATATTTTCTGTCTTCATCCCTAACCAATTCCCTATCCACCCCGTCCTCGCCTCGGTTAATATAATTATATTTTGAACACATACACAATTATATTTTTAACACATACACACATGCATATGCTTTTTTTTTTCTATATTAAAAAATATATTAAAAAATAGAATGAAATAAATGGGGGATGAAGACGGGGAATGCTTCTTGTCCCTGCCTTACCTCATCTCATGGACATCTCTAGATATTATACGAGACACATTGATTTTTTATTTTACGAAGAAATATGTCTATATTGGTTTTTTTTTAAATTTAAAAATACAAGATGATAGGTTGTGTAGTGATATCAAAAGAAAATGTTTATTTAACAAACTTGTTCCGTAATAAATTATACCATCAAAACATCATATAGTGAAATATATCGAGCAAATTATTATACTATTGATCAATTAAATACATGAACTTGTCAATTGAGCATAATTTAATAGATAAGACTCACCATTTAATCCGCACTCTCGAATGGTGAACGGAAAAAATAATACATTTAGCACGATATAATTAAGAGAGAGATAGGTAAGATTTTCACGAAAAAAACGACAAGAAAGAAGCGGGATGAAGTAATCTAGTTTCATTCTCTAGTGCCTCAAATTGTGATGGAAGAAAATAACAACAATGCCCCAAGGCCTTCACACCACCTTCATCTACAGTTGCTGAATAGCTCAGTCAATATGATGATGGGGATGAAACAACCAGAGAACACAAAAAATGGTGCCTGTAGCTAATACTTTTAGTTTACACACTCAGCAATATGTTGTGGATCATTTCCCAGACTTCCCGAACGTTAACAAAGATCTCTAATCAGAAGAGAAATCTGCGGTGCACCTAGCGTATGCCACGTTGGAGTCGAGATCAACTACCAAAACATTTCATAACCGAAGACATAAGAGCGGATGACAAAAACTTCATCCCAGTAGACCCACCAGGGAAATATGAAACAGCATAGTATGCAAGTGCAAGAACCTGGAGGAATCATAACGTTTCAAAATCGAACCATTTGTGTCGTGTATGATAAAGAACGCGGTAGATATGAAATGTACCTTTAATATATGTGATAGAACTCGAATGTATTGAAATGTAAAACATATCAGAACTACAAGTTAAACGAAGTGTTTTGAGATATTTGGACTTTCCCTTCTGGAGATTACTCTCAAGCTTCCTCATTCCCCGCCCCTCTATTTGTAACCAACAAACAATAATACCCTAATAACCTTCCTACCAATATGTTATAGGTTGAAATTGACGTGCATGTGGTGCAGAACTATGTGAGCCAGGAGGATAATCATAAACAAAATAGTCGGGTGAGTCCTCTCTCTTCTCGGAGTTCTATGCATGAACTTCAAAAATAGGGGTCGACCACTGCAGATTGATTGTCGGGATGATGTCCATTAGACTTGGAATCTAGGAAAGAAGATTATTCAATAGAGAGGTAATGAAGTGGGCTGAACTTACAGAGAAGCTGGATTGTAACGGCCCAAATCGACCGCTAACAGATATTGTCCTCCTTGGGTTTATCTTTTTGGGCTTCCCCTCAAGGTTTTTAAAACACGTTTGTTAGGGAGAGGTTTCCAAACCCTTTTAAAGAATGCTTCGTTCTCCTCTCCAATCAATGTCGGATCTCACAATCCACTCATCTTCGGGTCTCAGTGTCCTCGTTGGCACTTGTTCCCCTCTCCAATCGATGTGAGACACCGGGCGGTGTGCCAGCAAGGACGCTGGGCCCCAAAGGGGGATGGATTGTGAGATCCCACATCGATTGGAGAAGAGAACGAAGCATTCTTTATAAGGGTGTGAAAACCTCTCCCTAGCAAACGCGTTTTAAAAACCTTGAGAGAAAGCCCGAAAGGGAAAGCAAAGAGGGCACTCTCTGCTAGCGGTGGACTTGGGTTGTTACAATGCTGTTCAAATTGTTCAAATTGGGATGGATCAAAACAGCATTATTGGAAGCTAAAGGCTTAGGATGGTTTTCCAGCAAAATCAGCCTTCGTTCACCTTACTAAACCTGAAGCAAAGTTGAAGCCCCCTGATGGACTACATTTGGAGGCTTAAAGTCCCAGAAAAGTTGAAATTCTTTTAGTCGAAGATCTGTAGAAGCTTGAACACTGCTAATAAGGTGCAAAGAAAAGCTCCCTACTGGACACCCGGCCCCTTGCTCTGCTGCCAACGCTACTAAGACAGCGAGATCATCCACTGTGAGTTCACTCAAAACTTGGCTTTTCATCTTAAGTGAGCTCGTTTTGTCCATATGCTTTCCTCAAAGGTGGATTTATGGCTGGAATAAAGTTTGGAAGATAAATCTAATGTTTTGTGTGATTGTGCAGTTCAACTCCCTATTAGTCACTGAACTTATGAGACAGTTTCAAAGTTCAAGAACCTTTTAGATACAGAATTAAAAGTTCACCGACCTATTAGATACTTTTTAAACTTCAAGGAACTTTCAAACACAAGCTTGAACGTTCATGGACTAAACTTGTAATTCAACCACTATTGTTTCTTCTAAAATAAAAAAATAAATAAACAATTCTGAAGTAGAAAGATACTAACTGCAATATGGGAATAAAATTTTGTAGAATAATGAAGAAAGAAGAGGCCTTGTGTTTAGATACCTGTAATACAGAGAAGATAACAGAGAGAATATAGCTGTGGAGCCCCATGGAAACGTACAAGGTGCCAAACATACATCCAATGAAGATCACCGTAAAAGGAAGTCTCTGCATTGTGAAACAAAGGAACAAATAACAGAATAGAATCAGCTAAAATATCGGGACGGTGTCGGTATAAACGTAATAAAAGGAGCATCGACCAAGGGTACCTCTTTTGAGAACATATGTGCAAGCTGATTCTTAGGACCCTTGAGTGCAAAGAAGGATCCAATGATGAAGCAACACCCAAGGGTAAAACAGATAGCAAACTTATGAGGCACCAGAACCATGATAGGGAGGAACAATGCAAACGCAATGAAAATAAAGAAAACCCCAGTTGCTAGAAACAAACCAAAATACATCAGGGCTTTTCCTGAGGGAACATTGCTAGTGGCAGATTGGAGGTTCCCAGGAAGTTCTCTTACTCCTTTAGAAACCCTGTACAAGGATCAAATTACAAAGCAATCAGAAAGGATACTATCCTTTAGTTCGTAAGTATACTATCCTTTAGTTCGTAAGTCGTTCCTTTTGGAGGAAACCCTTCCATGGGATGTGTCCAAACACAGGTGAATAATCTCCTAGAAACTTTAGAAATATTGACAAGATGGCCTCAAACACATCTCGTGCTTCTGCTGGTGTTGTTTTTCTTTGGAGCGAATCTGGAAGCCTTAAACTCATTGATTATTGTAACAGCCCAAGCCTACCGCTAGCAGATATTGTCCTATTTGGACTTTCCCTTTCAGGCTACCCCTCAAGGTTTTTTAAAACGAGCCTGCTAGGGAGAGGTTTCCACATCCTTATAAAGGGTGTTTCGTTCTCCTCCCTATCCGATGTGGGCTCTCACAATCCACCCCCCTTGGGGCCTAGCATCCTCGCTGGCACTTGTTACCTTCTTCAATTGATGTGGGACCCCCAATCCACCCCCTTCGGAGCCCAGAGTTCTTGCTGGCACACCGCCTAGTGTCCACCCCCTTTGGGGCTCAGCCTCAGCCTCCTCACTGGCACATTGCGCGGTGTCTGACTTTGATACCATTTGTAACGACCCAAGCCCACCGATAGTAGATATTGTCCTCTTTGGGCTTTCCCTTTCGGGCTTCCCCTCAAGGTTTTTAAAATGCGTCTGCTAGGGAGAGGTTTCCACACCCTTATAAAGGGTGTTTCATTCTCCTCTCCAACCGACGTGAGATCTCATAATTCCATCTGTGAGTTCAAGGGTTTATTGCTCAATTTCTTTGACAGGAAGCGTTTCTAGTAGCAGGAAATTGAGTTGGTTTTGCGCCTTAGACGTGACTTAATTGGTTGGAAATTTTTCAATATTCTAATGCTAGCAGACTAGAAAGGACAACATCCAGCCATTTCCCATTTATTTTGAAAACCAGTTCAAACACTTGGAGTACGACCTTACAATGTAGACGCATTTTAAAAACCTTCCAGGAAAGTCCAAAAGAGAAAGCCCAAAGAGGACAATATCGGTTAGCCCTAACATGGGGCCGTTACAAATCAAGACCTTCAAACATGTAAAGCTATATTCTACCTAGCCTTAGGAGAATTTCTCTTCATGCTGTTTGGCAACCATAATGACATTCTTTGTTTCTTCAGATCCAATCTTAACTCTCTAATTCTCAAATGGAAGTTCATATGCTAGACATCCAACATTCTTAAATGAAAATCTCAATAATTCAAATGACAGCAAAAGACAAATCAAAATTCCAAGAGCCTACGGTAGAACATTTCCCAAACTTCCCCATAGCCAGCCAATCAAATCATGCTCAAGAAAAATGTAACAGCCATAGCCGAAGTAGCAACACTACAGCAAATTTACCCAACACCCAACAGATTACTACTCAAGAACTCGAGTACCCAATGATCCAGAAAACAAATACAAAATTCAATCTCAAATTCTTTTCTAAGATGGATATGAGGATCGATCGGAGACTTACACGCTAAAAGTTCCCGAAACGGTTTCATTCGCTGACCTAACAGCATTTTCAAGATCGAAACCGATTCTCGAATTGGAGCTGCTATCATCGGCAGCTTGTGATTCTGCGTAAGAATTCCAATTGGCGAGCAACGAAGAGGTCGGTTTGACCTGATTATCACTCCCACTACTATCCCCTTGCGTGAACCATCCCTGCGCCGTTTTCAGCATCGCTTTCTTTCAAATCGAAGCTTAAAAAATCGAGAAAATGTCAGGATTTGCTCTGATTTGGGAGCAGAAATTGGGTTGTGGAATTGATATCCCCGAGGAATCGAACGATTTTGGCATGTTCTTCTGGAAGAAAATGGTGAGGAAGAAGCCTTCGCGACGAAGGGAAACAGCAACGGCCCATATTATGGTCAGAAGAACAAATTCTCAATAAAATAAATAATAATAATAATAAATAAATAAAACAATAAAAAATAATAAAAATTCCATTTTTATTTTTTAGAGTTCAGCATATATATGTTTTCATGCCAAATTTACTCATTTACTTACAAAAGTTAATTTTTTTTATCCAACTTTATAAAATAACGACAGTAAAAAAAAAAGTTACTAGTTTATACCGAAAAAGATATCTTATTTTTTATGCTTAAGCCGATGAAAAATTATTCGATCAGCTCACTCGATGTGGCTATCTCGAGAGATGTAGGGTATAGATGGAACCGTTCTTCTCCATTTCTTATTTTAATCTTTTATCTTTGTAAATTTTTTTATTTATTTACTTTTTTACCGAGATTAGGAGATTAGGTCAGTCTCAAGTTTTTAACAGAGATTATATAATTTTCATTTTTTATATAATTTTTATTTAAAAACGTAAAAAGAAAATCATATTATTCAGACAAAAACAAATTTCAAAACTATACTATAATTTTGGACCATAAAAACACGATATATTGACTCGAGAATATTATCATCGTACTAGGACAGATATTTAAATCTCTCTCCAATCCCTCCCCCGTAAGCTCTGTGGGGACCACAACATGAAGGATTGAGACTTTTACAATTTACGTAAAATAATGCAAAACTTTATAGTTATACTAATCTTTTACAAAAAAGCACCATTCACCGAAAATCAAACACGAGATTAGATTCTAAACCTTATTTTCCCCAAAAAAAAAAAAAAAAAAAAATGACAAAGTTTGTACAATTTTGTTAATTTCATTTAACATTAAAGTTTTATTTGTTCCAAAATCTAATATTTTTACAAACAAATAGCTCAAACCATAACTCAAGTGTCCCACCCAATTTTGCAACCTTAGTATGTGGCCAAAGCTACAAAAACACGTGTAATTAGGCCAACGGGAGCACCCCGGGCCAATGATTTGATGAGTGTCAAGTTCGGAATAATAATAAGGTAGCAAGCCTGCTAGAACGCTCCAGTACTGTACTAATAACATAGAAAGTCAAGGCTATGATCATCGAGAGTATGTTCTTTTTGGATACAACAAAGAAAATATCAACATTTGTCTTCTAACTTTCCGTCTTTTAATAGCAATTACACGTTCGTTCGGCCTCTGATTACAGTCGAAGTGCTATAGCCGAATAATGGCAAGGGACACACCACATAACGATGATGTGAGCCCGCTAGGAAAGAACTTTCTACTCATATTTTCAAATATCAACATTGAATATACAAGGGTTTAAGTCAATATCGACGGAGAATGATACTCATTGAACTTTCAAAAGTTGCACCTCAAATATCAAGGGCTCGTTCCGATGCGATAAAAGACTACGTCGAGGACCAAACTGCAACAAAGCGAACTTAATTTTATCGACCAACGTTGTCATGCTTAAGAAATAATACGACCAAAACAAGTGATTAGGATGGATAATCTATAATGTTAATGCTGATTAGAGAAAGAACTTTGCTTTACCTCTTCAGGAATTGGGTTCAAATTCTCATTTATGTAACCCACAGACGGAGGGATAAGTGCTCTTCTTTTTCCTGATAACAAATAATAAACGCATTTCTGTGTTAAAAGGAAAAATGACACTCCAATAGAGGGTGAACTTTGTTCTTCACTGGTCCGTTTTGACCCGTTACGTATTGCTATCAAGTTCACAGTTTTAAAACGTGTCTGCTAGGCAAAGGTTTCCACGCCTTTATAAGGAATGTTTCGTTCCCCTCTCCAACCGACGTAGGATTTCACAATCCACCCACTTCGTGGGCTCTGTGTCTACACTGGCACACCGTCCGGTGTCTGACTCTGATACCATTTGTAACACCACAAGCCCACCGTTAACAAATATTGTCCGTTTTAGCCCGTTATGTATCGCCGTCAGCCTCACGGTTTTAAAACGTGTCAACTAGGTAGAGGTTTCTACATTCTTATAAGGAATGCTTCGTTCCCCTCTCCAACTGATGTGAGATCTCACAATCCACCCCCATTGGGGGCCTAACGTGTCCTCGCTGGCACACTGACCGATGTTTGACTTTGATACCATTTGTAACAGCCCAAGCCCACCGCTAGCAGATATATCTGTTTTGACCCGTTACGTATCACCGTCAGGTTCACGGTTCTAAAACGTGTCTACTAAACAAAGGTTTCCACACCCTTATAAGGAATGTTTCGTTCCCCTCTCCAACCGATGTAGGATCTCACAATCTATCCCCTTTGGGGGCTCTATGTCTACACTGGCACACCGCCGATGTCTGACTCTGATACCATTTGTAACACTACAAGCCCACCGTTAACAAATATTGTCCGTTTTAGCCCATTACGTATCGCCTCATGAGCGTTGGCAGGTCCTGGAGTGCCTGTCAAGGGCTCCCGCGCATACCCTGGGGTGATCATCACCACTTGCACCTCACATCTCGGCACAGTGGAACGTGTAACCCGCCTGCTGTCTCATTCAACTACATTTGTTCCTATAATCCATAGCCTAACAGAACGCAGCAACGAGGGAGAACCTGCCCATACAGCCAAGCGAGTCAACGGTCCGGAGAAAGAAAAGGACCTCCTTGACGGTTTTAAAACGTGTCTATTAGGCAGAGGTTTCCACATAAGAATGCTTCGTTCCCCTCTCCAACTGATGTGGGATCTCAAATCCACCCCCCTTGGGGGCCTAACGTGTCATCGCTGGCACATTGCACGATATCTGACTCTGATACCATTTGTAACAGTCTAAGCCCACCGCTAGCATATATGTCCATTTTGGCCCGTTACGTACCATCGTCAGCCTCACAGTTTTAAAACACTCCTGCTAGGTAGAGGCTTCCACACCCTTATAAGGAATGCTTCGTTCCCCTCTCCAATCGATGTGAGATCTCACAATTAACCCCCTTGGAGGCCCAGTGTCCTCACTGACACACTGCCCCGTGTATGGCTCTAACACTATTTGTAATAACCCAAGCCCACGCCTAGCAGATATTGTCCATTTTGGCCCAATACGTATCGCCATCAGCCTCACGATTTTAAAATGCGTCTGTTAGGCAACTGTTTCCACACCCTTATAAGGAATGCTTCATTTCTCACTCCAACCGACGTGGGATCTCACATATGAGAAATATCCCATTAACAGATGTGCAAGATTAAAGGTGATCTAGGAACGTTTATGTTTCTCGTTTCCTATTTCAGCCGTAAGTCGTGAAGCAAACGAAGCGATTATAAAAGGTAGAAGTTAAGACAATAGAAACCTAAAATACAAGGCTAATCCAAAGAAGTTGAAGAGGTTTCTGCATAATAAAAGCCATGAACAGCTTGATTGGCTAAGGGTAAAATAAGCATAAGAGCAAACTGAGTAAAGATGATTGAATATCCATACAATACCTCCAACTCTCATGCCAACCAGAACCTCTTTCAAGCCCTCTATTATCTGTAAGAAACAAATATCATCAGTAATAAACGCCAAAACTCGAAAGCTGATCCAATCATTGAATGATACAGAACTCGAAAGCTGATCGAGCAAACTAAGCGTTTTTAAAAAGAGAAGATTATACAAGCTAACTAACAGAGGATCTTCCAAAAACCAGCAAAGTTCTAGTGATAGGCTGCATAAACTGAAGCTATCCGCTATCGACAACAAGCATATCCGCTATCGACAATTACACACTCGTAAACAGATCATTGCACATCGAAAAATAGAACGACCATAATTAATATCTATTCAAAATTATCGAAAGTTTATCGCCCCCATAGTTTTCTTGAAGAACTGATGTAAAAGAAGAGATTACCTGGTTTTCTTTCAAAGGCAGGATTACTGGTGTGCTTTCTCCACTGAATTGATCTACCGTGCTGTGAATATGATAACAGAGGCAATGTGAATGATTTAGTCCTTGTACTTTTAGGGATTACATTCTAACTTCCTTTCAGCCTTCCCCTCGAAGTTTTTAAAACGCGTCTGTTAGGGAGAGATTTTCACACCCTTATAAGAAAGGTTTCGTTCCCCTCTCCAACCAATATGGGATCTCACAATCTACCCCTTTTGGGGACACAGTGTCCCCACTGACATACCAGTTGGTGTCTAGCTCTGATACTATTTGTAACAGCTCAAGCCCACCGCTAGCAGATATTGTCCTCTTTGGACTTCTCAAGGTTTTTTAAAACGCGTCTGATAGGGAGAGGTTTCCACACCCTTCTAAGAAATGTTTCGTTCCCATCTCCAACCAATGTGGGACCTCACAATCCACCCCCCTTGGGGGCCAATGTCCATGCTGGCACACCGCTCGGTGTTTGGCTCTGATACCATTTTTAACAGCTCAAGCCCACCGCTAGCAGATGTTGTCCTCTTTGGGCTTTCCTTTTCGAGTATCGCCTCAAAGTTTTTAAAACGCGTCTGCTAGAAAGAGATTTCCACACCCTTATAAGAAATGATTCGTTCGCCTCTCTAACCAATGTAGAATCTCACAATCCCACCCCCTTGGGGGCCCAACGTCCTTGCTGACACACCGCTCAGTGTCTAATTTTGATACTATTTGCAACAGCCCAAGCCCACCGCTAGTAGATATTGTCCTCTTTGGACTTCTCAAGGTTTTTAAAACGCGTCTGCTAGGGAGAGGTTTCCACACACTTACAAGGAATGCTTCGTTCCCACTCCATGAACAAATTTGCAAGTTAGTAGCTAAAACACCAGAAAAATACATTACCTATGAACGAAATATCCATTTGAACGCCTGCAGACATAATTGAACTCCACCAAGTCTCCTTCATGTGCTTCTGCTCCATCTCCCTCAAGAACTTCTATTAATTGGAACTAAAAATGTTAGTACAGTGAAATCATTAATCATAGACCTTATTTGTTTCCATATTCAAGAATTATATAGAACAATCATTGAACACATTATGTAGTTTTCATCATAATCAGTATGAAGAAGGAACTAAATCTATACCATATTTAAAACGCCATAAAACGAGCCTGCTACATTACAACCAAACATGTTCTTCTGTAAACACTAACAAGAAACCAAGGACTTGTTTGATAACGATTATAGCTAATTTTTTCTTGTAATCTACCTTTTAAAAGTGTGATGTCCCACACTGGTTGGGGAGGAGAACAAAACACCCTTTATAAGAGCGTGGAAACCTTCCCCTAGCAGATGCGTTTTAAAGCTTTGAGGGGAAGCTCAAAAGGGAAAGCCCAAAGAGGACAATATCTGCTAGCAGTGGGCCTAGGTCGTTACAAATGGTATCAGAGCCAGACACCGGATGATGGTCAGCTTTCTCGCTGTTTCCTGAAGGGGGGATTAGACACGAAGTGGTGTGCTAGTAAGGACACTGGGCCCCAAAGGGGGGTGGATTTGGTGGTGGTCCCACATCGATTGGAGAAAAGAATGAGTGCCAGCGAGGACGCTAGGCCCCGAAGGGGGGTGGATTGTGATGTCCCACATTGGTTGGGGAGGAGAACAAAACATCCTCTATAAGGGTGTGGAAACCTTCCCCTAGTATACGTGTTTTAAAGCCTTGAGGGGAAACCCGAAAGGGAAAGCCCAAAGAAGACAATATCTACTAGCGGTGGGCTTGGGTCGTTACAAAAAGATTTATTAAATCTTGAGATTTTAAACAAAGAAATTCTACCTTGAATCCGAACTCCACTGTCGAGCTTTAGCGTCCTGAAAGCTTCAAAATTTAAACAACAATTCCAAATGAGAACATGTAAAGCACTTTTGATGGATGGTCATGGCAGCCCTCTTCATTGTGATGTTAAGAAAATGATATGAACATTTCAAGAAAAAAGTTACAAATGAAATACATACCGAACTATTTCCGGTTCTTGCACGTCCATCATCGGTGCACTGAAACTAGGATTTGCATATAACAAGATCGGATACGAACCAATGAACTGCGAGAACAGCCTTCTTGGAAATCGTTTGCCAGAAAAAATGTCTAAGTGATTGACCATATGATGCTTGGATATGGATACTTCATCAGCCATGCAAATGGCTTTGTGGAAACTACAAGAACATCCATTCATAAGCTGTCAAGAAGTGAGTATCGTTTGATATAGATATCTATTCTCAGAATTTAAGGTTTGGAGTTCTTGGATTGAAGAACAGTTTGAAACATTAAACAATCATCCTGATTGAAAGGAGGAGAGAGACGTTATGACATATTTGACACCGGACTTAAAAGAGTGTAATAGTCTAATCCCACCGCTAGCAAATATCGTCATCTTTGAGCTTTCCCTTATGGAATTCCCCTTGAGGTTTTAAAATGTGTTTACTATAGAGAGGTTTCCACATCCTTCTAAGGAATGTTTTGTTCCCCCTCCAACCAATGTGGGGTCTCACAATCCACTCCCTTTAGGAGCCAACGTCCTCACTGGCACACCGCCCGATGTCCGGCTTTGATACCATTTGTAATAACTCAAACCCACCGATAGCGGATATTGTCTGCTTTGGCATATTACGTATCGCGGTCAGTCTCATGGTTTTAAAACGCGTCTACTAGGGAGAGGTTTCCACACCCTTATAAGGAACGTTTCGTTCCCATCTCCAACTGATATGGGATCACACAATCCACCCCCCTTGGAAGCCCAGCGTCCTCGCTGATAGACTGCCCAGTGACTAGCTTTGATACCATTTGTAACAGTCCAAGCCCACCGCTAGCAGATATTGTTCGCTTTGGTTCGTTATGTATCAGCTATCAACCTCATGGTTTTAGAACACGTCTATTACGGAGAGGTTTCCACACCCTTATAAGAAATTCTTCGTTCCCCTCTCCAACCGATGTGGGATCTCACAATTCACCCACTTTGGAGGCCCAACGTCCTCGCTGGCACGCTGTCCGATAATTGGCTCTAATACTATTTGTAACAGTCCAAGCCCACCGCTAACAAATATTGTTCGCTTTGGTCCGATATATATCGTTGTCAGCCTCACGATTTTAAAACGCATCTCCTAGGGAGAGGTTTCCACACCATTACAAACAATGTTTCGTTCTCCTCCCCAATTGATGTGGGATCTCACAATCCATCCCCTTCGGGGTCCAGTGTCCCCGTTGGCACTCATTCCTATCTCCAATCAATGTGGAACCCCCGCCAAATCCACCCCCTTTGGGGCCAGCATCCTTGCTAGCACATCACCTCATGTCCACCCCCTTCAGGGCTCTGCCTCCTCGCTGACACATTGCTCACCAGCTCTTATACCATTAGTAATGGCCCAAGCCCACCGCTAGTAGATATTGTCCTATTTGGGCTTTCCCTTTCAGGTTTCCCCTCAACACTTCCTCAAGACTTTAAAACGCGTTTGCTAGGGAGAGGTTTCCACACCTTCACAAAGGTATTTTGTTCTCCTCCCAATCAACGTAGGATCCACGTAGTCCGAACATAAAATTTTAACACAGGACACCTGAAGTATATTTCAATGAATGCTACAAACGCAAAGGGAAACCTACTATTGTGTAGAGCAACACAAAATTCAACAGAATCCCAAATGGAGTAAAGAAATTCGCCATGGAAGAGCATACCTAGAAAATTTGACGGCGCAAGGAGAGCGAAACAAGCTCCACAACGAGAGAACTCCCATGGCACAGCCTGAAAAGTTGCGAAGACGATGACGTTAATGGATAAGTTGAAACGAAGTGGATGAGGAAGAAAAGGAGAGGATTCTATGGTGAAATTTATGACGAAGAACGCCGGAGAAGTTTTATTCTTTTTAGGCTAAATTAATTAAATTACATCTAAATCAATAAAAAGATATATTTTTTAATTTAAAATTTCAATAATATCCTAAATATTTTTCTAACTTTTTTTTAATAATTTAAAAAAATACCATTATTGTTAGTACTATATTTAAAAATTATCTATTTAATTTTAATTTTTACAAAATTGGGTATAATTAAAATCATCAAAATAATAATTTAAACATGTTACTCATAGATTCGTCCATATCCTAACCATACGAATATTTTTAATTTTTTTTTAAAAAATTAAAAGTATTATTAATAAAAATTTAAAATTTATGGGCATTTTGAAATATTGTTTAACTAAATTTTAAAAGAATTTTATTTAAATTAATAAATATTATCTTTTAAAAAAAATATGCATAAAATAATACATTAATTGTTTAATCATGTTAAAAAATATTCTTAAATTTAAAAAAATTTATTAAAAATTTTAAATTTTTTAAAAAAATTAAAAAATAATCGTATATTTACAAAATATTCGTAGTATCAACTTCATTAATTTATAATTAATATATATAATTAATATATAGATGAAAATCATCTCTACCTTTTATAAATTATCGCTAATTTTTTTTTTTAATAAAAGTTTAAGAATGTTAATATTACTTTTGAAAATTTATAAAATGTGTTACTAATGGTTTGGTCCGTGGGATAAGGGTACTAATGGAATATTAAAAAGTATTTTTTAAACAAAACATTAAATATTCTCATCTAACATTTAAAAAAAATTAATTAATTTTTTTAATTTTAAGAATATTATTAAAATTTTGTTGAGATAAAAGCGAAAAACGGTATTTTTATTAATTCATCATCGTTACAAAAATAGACAGAAATCGATTTTACAATGGTGTAGAATTCAAACCGAAACGAGAAAAAGGACACAAAATCCCTATAAGAAGTGCAGAATCGATCGACAAATCTGTTGTTTAAGATCTTCAAGAACTTTTGTTTAAGATCTTCAGAAGCTTAGCAGTTAGATTACGGAGAATCGATTTGCAACCTAGACCTAATTCGCGCAAGTGAACTGGGCCGTCGTCGAGCCAGAAATCAACGCCGTCTCTCTTCTCCTCCATTCCGATCTTCGGTCGCGAAATCAACGGCGATTCAATCCACCGGATCCCTGTGTTCATCCCACAATCCACTGAATCCCTTCACTTTCTTTTTATTCTTATTGCTATGGGAAAGAGAAGAGAGCGTCGCCGTGCAGCTCTCAGCAATGCCGGTCGCCGTGTCAAGCTTGATCTATTCGCCGAGCCCTCCGGTAGTTTTCCGTTTTTTGGTTCTCCCCTTTGTGTTATAGCGCTTGTCGATATATGTTTATTTGTTTGTTGCTAATTTGATTGTGTTGGGAATTTGTTTATTTCTTCATGTAGGGTTGCGTTAGTTTCTGTTGAATGTTCTTTTTCATTTTCAATTTGTTTATTGTGTAATGGAAGCAGTGAATTTCGATCTCCTGGTGGCTAGTTTTCTTAACTCATTGAGTTGGTCTTCTATCTGTTTGGAATTAATGCTCACTCGGTTGATTAGGGCATGGGGGGTTGTTTGAATGTTATGTGTAAACATATTTTTTCTGTTCTTTCGTGAGTTTGTGAAGTGGTTCTTTTTGTTTGTTTGGTTTCTTAATTTTGTTCAGTCATGGCACGAGCTTTCATTGGCTTTATGTTGTGATTAATACAATGCTGCTCTGGTCTTTGATATGTAACTTTGTTTACTTGATATTGTAATCAACACATTACATCCTAACTGTTGCTCCCGGTTTCTTCTTTAAATTCTTGCTTTGGCTATATCCAGTCTTCAATAAACATAAATGTTCTGCATATCAGCATTAGTTTGGTCATTATTTGAGATCAAAAGTGGTTTATATGATTACTTAAAAGGAAAAAGTATATCTATGAATGCATCAAAGAAATTTACATTAGTTTGTATTGGAGTTTCATTGATTCAATCTGAGAAGGGTAAAATGAAAAGTATTTATTCATTTTAAATTTTTTTTTATTAGAAATTCTTTCAAGGGTTAGTGATATTTCTCTTTATACTGTTTCCTTAATATATGATCTTGGGTGACACTGATATACTCAATAGCAGCTTCGAGTAATTTTAGCTTCGGAGATCGTTAATATAAGGTGTCTGTATTTTAATGGGGGATATGTTATTCTTTGTCTAGGAGATTTAGATGGCTCTGATGCACATGAAGAAGTTGGAGGGGATATAGATTCAAGACAGACAACCAAGTTACCTAAATCAGCATCCTCCTCAGGTGGGTTCTATCAGTGTTCTTCAAAAGGACTATGTAAAGGGGATATGAGTGCTTCACATTATAATGGTGGATATTTCAAACTTTATGTACAAGACTTTGTGTTATTTGCCCCCAGAATTTGTTTTCAGTCTATAGGGTGACTGTGGTCTTTGGGACACCAATAATCAGATCAGGTCAGGTCAGGGCCACTGCCACAATGAACATGTGAATGACTCTCAATCATTATGCTGTTTTTGGAGATTTCGACAGGGAAAATTTTTCATCGGTTCGTATGTCTCTGTCTTTTCATTTTTGGTTATCACTGACATTTGTCCTTGGATGTGTAACAGGTTGATGTGATGCAAACACCTTCAATGTTCACGTTGAATTGCACTGTTTTAAATTTGAAAATTTCATGTTTCTAACACCTTGTGATATTCATGAAATTTTCAGGGAATTCTTTGACGTGCTGCTAAGAGATATGGTTTTGGATATATTTGATGTGAAAGTGTTTTTATTTTCAGGTCAACAAGCACAAAATCCCTTGCTGTTACTGGAGCAATATAGTGATGATGAAGTTGATGAGGAAGTGGACGAGGACTCGAATAAAAATTCAGATCATGATGGACAAGATGCATTGTTACCTGACTGCAATGACGAGGTATCTTTCTTTCTTTTATTTTCCGAATTGCTGATCAGGATTAGAACTTGAATAAGCTTGATTTGATATTCTACTTTCATTCATTTCGGGTTAGCTCTTGTGAGAGGATTTATTAGTGATTCAATTCCCCTCCCCCAGAGAATGTATTAATTCTACCTTAAATTCCAATAAAATGTGGGTTGAAGCCTAATTCATGTTATAAATGATTAGACTGTAATACTTCTGCAAGTATTGAGGTATTTGTTGCTCAGATGATTTTGGTGCTGTTTGGTATGGTAAGCTGAAAATATTTTCGATGGCAAAATCTTGAAAACGAGAATTTAGGTTTGATCCTAATTTGAAGCAAAATTTTGAATACAGTCATAAGGCATTTCACATGTTTTACCAGACGAGCCTCGAATGCCAATTTTGTGCATGTTAACAAAGTTCGCTTCTATTCTTAATAATACTTTTTTTTTCACCGTTGTCCTTGATTCCAGGTTGCTGCCCTTCCTGCTGAGGGATGTGAGAAAGTGGAGGCAAATGTCGGTGAAGACATCATTGCTGAAAAGGCTGTTCAAGAGGAACCTGAGCAAGGTTCTGCTGAATTTTCTGAGAACCTGGAGAGCAAAGATGAAGCAAAAACTGACACTAATAACTTTGGATATTTAAGCAAGGAAACTGATCTGGTTCAAACATCTGTACCAGCCACATCTACTGTACAAGTATCAGGGGATGTTATTTCAGGATGGAGGGTTGTCATGCATGAGGAGAGCCATAATTATTATTACTGGAATGTTGAAACTGGGGAAACTTCATGGGAAGTTCCTGATGTTGTTTCGGCTCAGACTCAGCCTACTCTATCAGCCACCGACGTTATAACTTCTCCGACTCAATTTCCAGAGAACGTTACAGTATTTAAACAGGATTCTGGCTTATCTAATGGTGGGAGGTTAGATGCTTTTTCAGCAGAAAGCACAGGTGAGTGGTCTGCTAATCACAATGCTTTATAATTATTAAAAATTTTAAAATATGAGCCTAAAGTGAACAATCAAATTGAAGGTTACAAGAACGGCATTCCAGTTACTGCAAGTCAGGGTTCCGAGGTTGACCAAAGCTATGCTGCCTTCAGTACTTGTTCAAATAATGTGAATATAGCAAAAGCTGCTTCTGAGATCTATGCTGATTACGCGGTGACTAATGAAGAACAGAAATCAGGGTTGGATCTTCCTTCACATCTTCTAAACTGGAGTTCGAGCTTGTTAGAGAGATTAAAATCATTACAGAAGTAAGATTTGACTTTTTCACCTCAATTGAATATTATTAGCTATTCACAACCTTCATTCAGCATTTAGTTCTTGTTCAAATGATGTTGAGCTTCTTCACTTGGGCAATCACTTTGATCACCTTTCCATTTGGCTTGTAAGCCTTAGGGAAACAATCACTTTGATCACCTTATATATCTGTCAAACACTAACCAAAAGAAAAACCTAACCGTTTTCCATAAGAAACTGAGTTTCAGATGGCACCAGAGCCTATGCTTGGTATTGCACCTTATGGTGCTGTCAGTTCTCAACTTTTTCTTGATTACGAAGATTTTGTGGATGTCATTTTGATACAAGGAGACAGGCGAAAAGAGGAACCAAATGCAGTAGGAAACCTTAGAAAACTTGAACCTTTAAATTTATCAGTGATGTAATTGGTCTTAATAATCTTGTGCTCATGCATCCCTTTCTTCTTGATTATTGTAATATTATTTTATGTATAACATACATGCCTCCAATTGAACCTTTCTAATGTTATCCCTCTAAACCATTGGTTTTCTCCCGAAAAGTTTAATACCGTGTTTTTGAACAAATTATTTTTCAATCTAGTCGTGGCGGGATATATTTAGTGTTATGTGTATTCATTTCTCAATTTTATTCTTGACTTCTTATGTTAGCATTGAGAAATGGACTTCTGGTTTTACGTCACATTCTTGTACTGATGGCTTAAACATTAACTTCAGGTCTGGGGGTCATGAATGGACATTAAAGTACATATTGGAAACTCAGGTTAGACTTTCGGATTTGGAGTCGCTGATGCCGTATAAGGCATCGTTGCTTCCATTCTGGGAACACTTGGCAAGGAAACTTAAACAGATTGAAGATGACATTAACAAAGAAATTTATCAGACTGCTGTAGTATCGTCGCAATTGGATGAAGCCAAGACTACTGATAGTCCAAACATTGTAAGAGACGAGAAATTTCAGGGAAGGTCGGATGTTGCGTCTGATGTTGCGAGAAAGGAAAATAGTGGTGTTTCTGCTTTGGAGCATTCACATTTGCCTACTGATTCTGCTTCTTTGACTATCATTGCAAATGGAGAAAATATTTCACCGTCTAAGGGGAACTCTACTAGTGTGATTGAGCATGCAAGTGAAATTGCAATTGATGAAATGGCTTCCAAGAGTGAACATTCTGTGGAAGATGTTGACATGGAGGTGGATATGGAAGTTGAAGATGCCGGTTTTGCAGGTAGCTTGACAGTGGCTGGTACACCAGATATGTACAATGCTAAGTCGTTTACTTTGTTCGAGCAACCACTTCAGCCAGATCAACAAGCCCAGCCAAATCTTTCTTCAGGCTTTGCATACATGGGGCACGAGGATGGCAGTGTAGCACCACCGCCACCACCAGCGGACGAAGAATGGATTCCCCCACCACCACCTGATAATGAAGATGTTCCTCCACCCCCACCTGATGAACCAGCTGAACCATTATATCCTATGCCTCCATCTTATACCCAACTTGGGCAGCCTGTTTGTTACACTGAACCATATCAAGTGTCTTATCCTGATTCTAGTATTCAGTATTATGCACATCCTGTCCCTGAAGTTGTACCTAGTGCAGATTTTTACGGACATCCAGAAACGTGTAACGTTGTATTGGCTCAAGCACCATTTTGCTATGAGGCAGTTCCCAATTCGCATACGGGTTCTGCTCCCCTAGTTGTAAATGGTGTTGTGCCTGAAGGTTATGGTATTCTTCAAAACGCAACGTCCTCTCTTCCCGTTTTTAGTACTGCTGGGTCGTCTCAGTTGCATGTTGATTCTGCATCTGTGAGTTTTGATCCTTCTTTCACTTTTCATTATGGATCTTCTGATACTACAAGTATGAATACTGCTTCTGCCGCTGATGAAATTGACAAGGGGTGTGGAGACACGAAAGCCTCTGTCCGAGTATCTACTTCAGTCTCCCCAACTAACGATGTTCCGCCAACAAGTAATGCCGTTACTGATCCTTCGGCTGTTGCTAATACAACTGCAATTTCCAAGGTTCAACCAAAAGGTATGACATTTTAGCAGTTATGTCATTTTAATCATGATATTTTTGCAAGGAGCTAAATATGAGTGGAGTGTTTATCTAGATAGTAGCTTCCGCAAAAAGAGGATGGAACTAGGGGAGGAAAATTGTGTGATCCCACGTCGGTTGGGTAGGAAAACTAAACATTCTTTGTAAGGGTGTGAAAACTTCTCCTTAGCAGATGCTTTTTAAAGACTTTTAAGCGGAAGTCTGGAAGGGAAAGCCCAAAGAGGACAATATCTGCTAGCGGTAGGCTTGGGCTATTACACAAATGAGATGACACTTGGTGATGTGCCAGCGAGGAGGTTGAGGGGGTGGACACGAGGTGGTATACTAACAAAGATGCTAGGCCCCGAAGGGGGGTGGATTGTGAGATCTCATATCGGTTGGGGAGGAAAGCGATGCATTCTTTATAAAGGTGTGGAAACCTCTCCCTAGCAAAACCTTAAGGGGAAGCCCGAAAGGGAAAGCTCAAAAAGGACAATATTTGTTAGGGATGGGCTTGGACTGTTATATGGAGTTCAATGGCCTAGTATTCTATTGAGTTCAATGGCCTAGGATTTAGCAGCATTTGTTGGGGGTACAGTTTATTAATTTTATTAGGTATCCATCAAACCCTGTTGTGAGCTCAAACCGTTGGTGTAGTGCAGTTTAACTCTTCTACTGAGATGTTCATGCTGTAATCTTAGCTCTTCACTTAAAAGTGGCCTCTCAATACGGCATCTGCTCTAATGTTCCGTTGCTGTTTTTTTTCCTATGCAGCTCTGCGCAGTAAAAAGCGGACAGTTGCAGTTGCTCCATCCTTGAGATCGAATAAGAAAGTTTCGAGTTTGTTGGACAAGGTACGTCTTGTGTCTTTCTGTGAAATCCCACATCAGTTGGAGAGGGGAATGAAACATTCCTTGTAAGGGTGTAGAAACGTATCCCTAGTAGACGCGTTTTAAAATCTTGAGGGGAAGCCCTCGAAGGGAAAGCTCAAAGAGAACAATATCTGTTAGCGGTGGGCTTGAGCTGTTATTAGTGGTATCAGAGCCAATCAGTGCCTGCACTGGTTGGAATAGGGCTAGACCCTCTCCATTGTAGACACGTTTTAAAACCTTGAGGGGAAGCCCAAAAGGGAAAGCCCAAAGAGGATAATATTTGCTAGCGGTGGTCTTGGGCTGTTACACTTTCAGCTCCATAGATACATTAGTCACGCTCTCCTTGGTCTTTCTGTATTTGGTCTTTCTGTATGGGATGCCATAAAGTTATATTTTTCATGCCTGACGAATCCTTTCTGTATATTCATTTTGATTGATCAGTGGAAAGCAGCGAAGGAAGAACTGGAAGAAGACGAGGAAGAACCAGAAAACGCTTACGAGATTCTCGAGAGGAAACGAGAAAGAGAAATAAAGGTTACGATACAACAGAATACATTTGATAATTTAATTTACTGCATCTGTGCTGGGTTCTTACCAATGTTTATGATGCAGGAATGGCATGCACAGCAAATTGCCAGTGGAGATGCAAAAGAAAACGCCAACTTTCAGCCTCTTGGCGGTGATTGGTATGAAGCTCAAATGAAAAAATACAATTCCTTAGTCCTTCATTTGTCTCGTAAATTATCATATTCTTGAAATCCCTCTTGCACTTTGTGCCTCTTCGAGTTTGAACTCCAACCAATTTTGCAAACTAAACTGGTTCGAGTTCAAGGACTCGTTTTTGGACTATGGTTTTGAGCTCTGCTTGCTACATTTTCTAGGCGTGAGCGGGTAAAGCGAAGGAGAGCGCAATCATCGAGTGATGTTACTCAATCCCCTGCTGAAGCATCCACAGATGGAAACCAGCAGCAGCCCGACCTGGCAGAAATCGCAAAAGATCTACCCTCAGGATGGCAGGTAATTTCCCTTATAGAAACGATGAACTGAAATTACAAAGTAGAATGGAGCGTGGCTTTCAAGCCCCTTGTGATGAAAATCGATCTGAACACATCCGTTTTTAGAGGCGTCTTGTACAATAGCTTTTGATTTTCCTTTTGCCTTTTCAATACCTTTAAGTGCTCTCATCTGAATCATTATCAACATTGTTGTCTAGTCTAGAACTTGCTTTAGTAGAACTAAGTCCCTCATGATGAAAATCGAACTAAACACATCCGTTGTTAGAGGCATCTTGTACAACCGCTTTTGATTTTCCTTTTGCTTTTTCAATACCTTTAAGCGCTCACATCTGAATCATTCATCAACATTGTTGTCTAGTCTAGAACTTGCTTTAGTAGAACCAAGTCCCTCATGATGAAAATCGAACTAAACACATCCGTTGTTAGAGGCGTCTTGTACAACAGCTTTTGATTTTCCTTTTGTTTTTTCAATACCTTTAAGCGCTCACATTTGAATCATTCATCAACATTGTTGTCTAGTCTAGAACTTGCTTTAGTAGAATCAAGTCCCTCATGATGAAAATCGAACTAAACACATCCGTTGTTAGAGGCGTCTTGTACAACAGCTTTTGATTTTCCTTTTGCTTTTTCAATACCTTTAAGCGCTCACATCTGAATCATTCATCAACATTGTTGTCTAGTCTAGAACTTGCTTTAGTAGAACCAAGTCCCTCGTGATGAAAATCGAACTAAACACATCCGTTGTTAGAGGCGTCTTGTACAACAGCTTTTGATTTTCCTTTTGCTTTTTCAATACCTTAAAGCACTCTCATCTGAATTATTCATCAACGTTGTTGTCTAATCTAGAACTTGCTTTAGTAGAACCAAGTCCCTCACGATGAAAATCGAATTGAACACATCCGTTTTTAGAGGCGTCTTGTACAATAGTCTTTTATTTTCGTGTTGTCTAATCTAGAACTTGTTTAGTAGAACCAGATAGTTATCTTACTGGGTTTCTTTCTGGAACATCGCGTTTTTTCAGGCATATTGGGACGAGTCAACGAAGCAGGTGTATTATGGTAACGTTAACACCTCGGAAACGTCGTGGACAAAACCGAGGAAGTGAAGCGATGTTTATGTCGTAGTTTAGTGATTTTGTTGGGAAGTTAGGATTAAAATGAAATGTGAAGTAGTAGGTGTTGTTGGCATTGTATAGCTAACTTGTTAGGGTGTAGGGAAGGAAGGGAGATTGTGGAGAGGAACATGACAAAGTCTACAATTTTGCTGATTGATTTGTTCAATCAAATTGTCATTTATTCCTCTCTGGATGGTTTGTGCTGTAAGCTGTATGCTCAACTTACATTCTTTTTGTTAGCCTAATTTCAGTTCATTATTATTATTATTATTATTATTATTATTATTATTATTATTTGGAATGATATGACATAAATATATTAGTTTTATATTTATCAAGTGGTGAGTGGCAAAAATCATATTTATTATTGATTTTTAATATTAAAAATAAAATAAAAAAAATCTTCTTTTTTGATTCTCTCCTCTCTTCGCAAAAAGTTAATAGAGATGTCTATGAACCTCATTAAAAGTTAACCGAGTCGGTTTGGGTTCTGAAACATGAACCTAACCTATCCCAAAAGGCTAACTCAATTTAACGCTTATAGTTCGAGATGGGTTGGTCTGGGTTGTTGGGTTGAATGTACACTTTTATTATGAGGTGGGACCGTTGAGTCAGTTAGTAGTGTTCTCTTAGGAAACATATTCATACATTCAACGATAATTCATAAACAAAAAAATATATAATATATTTTTTGAAAAGCTAAATTTTAGTATTATACATTGAATAAATTGACAAATTTTAATATTACAGTATAATGTAGAAATTTAGGTAAGACCGGGGGCATACTATAATTTTGAATCTTACATCGATTGAAGAGTGGAACAAAACATATAGAAGCTCTAAGAAAATAATATCCGCTAATAGTGGGCTTGTGTGGTTACAGATGGTATCTTTGGGTGGACTGTGAGATCTTTGGAGAGGGGAACAAAACATTCCTTATAAGAGTCACCAATGAGAGTCAATTTGGGTGGACTGTGAGATCTCACCTCAGTTGGAGAGGGGAACAAAACATTCCTTACAAGAGTGTAGAAGCTCTAAGAAAATAATATCTGCTAGTAGCGGGTTTGTGCTGTTACAAATAGTATCAGAGCCAAACACCAGTCGATGTGCCCGTGACTAAGCTAAGTCCCCAATGAGAGTCAATTTGGGTGGATTGTGAGATTCCACCTTGATTGAAGAGGGGAATGAAGCAAGACACTGGGCGGTGTGCCGGCGACTACGTTGAGCCCCAAAGCCCCCAATGAAAGTCGATTTTGGTGGATTGTGAGATCCCATCTCGGTTGGAGAGGGGAATGAAGCAAGACACCGGGCAGTGTACCGGCGACTACATTGAGCTCCCAATGAAGGTGGATTTTGATATTCCACATAGGTTGAAAAGAGAAATATCAAGTAGTGTGCTAGCGAGGACATTAGCTTCCCAGCCTTAGATAAAATATTTATTTATTTATATTAATAATCAAAATATTATCAAATAATGCTAAGTGGTCCATTGGGCTTTAAAATGCATCAACAACATTGACATCATTTATATTAAAAGTATATAAATCGGAGGAGTATTACAGAAGCTCGAAGGTTCTTGACCGTCCAAAATGTCGAATCGCCCCCGATCGCTCTCCATGAAAAATGGCTTCTTCTGAGTATAGTTGAAGGTTTTGATTCTTCGTTTTGTTCTTGATTTTGTTTTTGTAGGTTATGTTTGAGCTTGATTACTTAAGCTTGAGTTTGATGAAACGAAAAGATCGACGGAGATGAACTATGAGTATAAGGTTTTTGTTCCAAGTCATCTTCACGGCTAAGATCATGACCGAGAAATCTAGGTAAAGATACATCAATGTTGTTGGCGAAGATATCCAAGGTATGAATCTCGACCGGGATGAGGTAATTACAAAATGGTGAATGATCTTATGGCTCTCAGAAATTTGTTTTTGTTTCTAAAATGCGTAAAAACAAGATCGAAGTTAGAAATCGGCCAATTTATTAGAACATTCAATACAAATAAAAGAATGAGAAACAATACAAAAGAGGATTGTATGAACTTATTCTTCGAAAAGTAAGTTATTGTTTGTTGGTAATTTCATTTCCGAATACAGAATCATCGAAGGACGAACACGAACAAACCCTGGGAAAACGATTCAAGGCGAATAGGATGTCATAAGGTCAGTGGATTTATGAGCCAACTCAGAGAGATTGGAGCCAACGGATCGGCCGCGGAGCATGCCGGTATGGCGGTGGTGGCGGCAGCGGAAGGAGCCGATGTGAGTGGTGGGAGAGCAGAGACAACTGGCCTTGGCGGAGGAGGGGGCCTTGGGCGCCAGTGATCGGGACGGCGAAGAGGCGAGCAGGTTAGTGCCTTGCTTAAAATCCTCTAGATCGAAGTCTGTGAATGGCGTTTTGTGGTGGTGATTGGGGTTGTTTCTGTCGATGGGCCTCGGAGCCTTGTGATCTGGTTTATGATCCATGGATTGAAGTTTCTGATGGAAATGGAATTAGGGTTTGTGAATCTGTGGAAGAAGAAGAAGAAGAAGAAGAAGAAGAGTTCTGTTCTTGGAGAAATGCAAGCACATTTTGACATTGGTACTCAACCCCTCAACTTTTGCTGTTTGCTCAATCACAACCTTTGGTTTATTTTTAGCTTTCCATGCTTATTTCTTTTTTTTTTTTCCTTTTAATAATAATATTTTTTTAGGGTTAGAATAGACGCTACGAAAATAGTTTCGACATGGATTCTAATCATGTCTCTACCATCCGTTTCTCCAAGCTCGTGAGTAGCATCTTGGGTCAGTAGAGCTACAAGGTGGAGTTGGGAAAGATTTCCTTGTCTCCGCCCCATTTGTTTTGGCAAGGATTTTTCGAGAATTTTTATATGATAAATTAGTTGTCTGTGTGAGATCTCATATTGGTTGGAGAGAGAAGAGTGTGAAAACCTCTCCCTAACCGATCGTTTTAAAACTTCGAGGGGAAGTCTGGAAAGGAAAGTCCAAAGAGGACAATATCTGCTGGCGGTGGACTTGAGACAGACACTGGGCAGTGTGCCAGCGAGAACGTTGAACGCCAGGGGGTGGATTGTGAGATCTCATATTGGTTGAAGGAGGACAATATCTGCTAGCGGTAGACTTGAGACAGACATTAGGCGGTGTGCCAGCGAAGACGTTGAATGTCAAGGGGGGTGGATTGTGGGATCTCATATTGGTCGGGGAGGAAAATTAAACCTTATTTAAGAGTGTGGAAACTGGATACATCTCTTCATCACAATCAGCATACATCTCTCCAAATTGTGCGGCAGGGAGTACCGTACCTCGCATCGACAATTTTCAACCCAAGTTTTTTCGTTCGTCATTTCTGTCTCTTATATATCTTTGCCAACGAAAGATTTTCAACACTACTTGTACAACATCATTTGGATGAATTTCTATGAATTTTATAAGCTTCTCGTAACTAAGTCGATAATGGGGTCATGTTTACATCAACTTAACGATCCTTCACATCTCTACGATCTCGAAGCCTATTAATTCGCTTCACATCCAAGTAGTTCTATGGATTGTTTTAGAAGCTAAATTTGGTCTTTACTTGATTTCGGTACCAAAAGGCTATATATATATATATATATTTTGATAATTCATGTAAAATACCGAAAATTCAATTGGCTAGAGGTTTATATTGATAATTTAAGTATGTATAATGCCGAAAATCCAAAAAGTAAATAAGCAGCAACCTTTGAGTGTCGTTTGAACTATTGATTTACGTAATTGGAAATAACTAATTAGGTTTACGACGAAACCTAGAAATCGATCATTGATCCAATTTGAGTACCTCCACAGGATAGACTTCAACAAAAAACCGAAGAGTACCAGCAGCAAGTGATTGAGTTCAGTAGTTCCTCATATAAAATTATTGACTCTAGAGATATAGTAATATGGAGAAGACTTAATTGTTTTAAACACCAAAAGAACCAAAAGCGTCCCTTGTTTCAAAGAGAGGAGGACGAGTTATTCACATTTCATTTAATAGTCAGAGGCAAATTGAAAGCGAAGCGGTAGTAATTCTAAGGATTCCTGAGAGGAAAAATAGAGATGTCTCCTACGTTACCCGTAATATGTGGAAGTATCGACGTGACTCCATAACCTAACACTCTCAACCATCTCTACTCTGTCCATTGCTTCCACGGGCATCTACCGTACTTCTCCTCTTTTTTTAATATCCTAACTCTTCTTCTTTCTTTTTTCTTCTCTCTCGATTAACATGAACCAGGACAAGTTGAAACGAAACAATCTCATCTCACGTATTATTGAACTAAAAAAAATAGTGAAACAAAGTCCAGGCAAGCACGAACATGGACGATAACCATTCTACGTGTCGGTAAAACAAACAAATACTATACATACATACACATAGACAGACATGTAGACACTGCAATCCAAGAAAGTTCTCGCAACTTAAAAGCAGTGGAAGCAGCAGAATTCTGTTCTTATGGGCCTATGAATTCAACTCATTCAACTCATTCAACTCATTCAACTAATTCAACTAATTCATGTGTGGGAACAAAAAAGAACAGAATTTGAAGTGATTTTTATCTTTGAAGTTGTTGCTTACAGAGAGGGCAGGAAGATGTGATCGATAGCCACTTATCTACACACTTGAGATGGAACAAATGCGAACAAGGCAACTCTCTTACTTCTTCTTCATCTCTGTATTTCACTAAGCAAATGCAACATTCCTACAAGAACAGCACAAGAAAACAAACAAACTCAGTCAAATTCTTCATTGCAAGTATATATTATATGCTTCACTTACTGGATCCTCCTTTGGAAGTCCTTTGTTGTTACTATCAGGTTGTTTTGAGCTTGCTTTATATCTCCAGCAAGGTAGCTCGGATATTTGATCATCCGATGCGCCTTTGTCGGTCGATGCCATGTTAATGTTATACCCGAGAAGGCTACTAATCAATGGCACACAGCAACATAGCAGAAGAAAAAGTATGAATGGAAAAGAGTAGCAGATGGCATTCCAAACTAACAGGAAGACGCATAGCAGATGAAGCTTGGGAGCTCTTTGGAAAGAATCGAAGCGAGAATCGACGATCCAAACATTGCCCATTACGAACCATATGGCAAAGAAAAGTTCAAGAGACGACCGACATTTGTTCATCAAGCGCAAGCTCCTGCACATCGTATTGAATAGGAGTTGTAGATAAGTGCATCCACATTCTAAATGAGGCGGTTTCAATGGTTGAGGATTGTTGAGAGGGAGTCCCACGTTAGCTAATTTAGGGAACGATCATGGGTTTATAAGTAAGGAATAGATCTCCATTTAGTATTAGGCCTTCTGGGGAAGTTCAAAGCAAAGTCACAAGAGCTCATGCTCAAAGTGGACAATATCATACCATTGTGGAGGTTCGTGATTCCTAACACCAATTAAACAGAGCAAGAAAAGCAGCATTTTTCGGTTGTACTTTCAGCTAACTTCTAAATGATTCTAAATTTCTTATACTAGAGAGAAAGTAGACCTTGTTTATCCTCCATCAGCTGCTTTATCCACTCTAATATAGAGAAAGTAGCATGTTAAGGAATACCTTGATGCTTGACTGCTCCTCCGCTGCTCGATGTCGGGAAGGCCAACGCGCGGCATTAAATAAACGTGCCAATATCGTCCGTAGAGAAGCAACAAGCTAAGAACGCAGCCAAGATCGTAACCAACTATCCACAGTCTCATAGGCCAAACAGGCTTCTCTGTCTCTGAAATGGCGAGAAAAAACACAGTGATGGCCAGCTGAAACACCATAGCTATCAGTTCCATAGCCATCCACGAGCTAGAATTGAAAGGATCGGACCCGAGATTTGACCTCGATCCATTCTGGTAGTGAAATACTCTTCGTAAGAAAATGAACCACCTGGCTCTAGACACCCTCATTGCTACCCTAACCCAGAAAGATGCAGGGAGAGAAACAGAATTGTCATCTCTAACATCTGCACCTGCACCATCTTCTTCCACCGACAAATTCGAGATAAAGGAAGCAGTGCCATTGTAGTTACACGGAGGCCCCGAAATGAAATAACCAGAATTGATCATTGAAAACGACCTTTCCTTATCTAGTACAACACAAAAAAACAGCTTGGATTCAGCACAAACATAGAAAACAAAGTGCTTTCATGGAGATTCAAGAGCCAACTTGACAATCATGACAGCACAAACATAGAAAACGAAGTGCTTTCATGGAGATTCAAGAGCCAACTTGACAATCATGACAGCCAAAACAACAGAACATTCACCCACAATGAATGAACAAAACAACCCACCAATTATCTATTCAAATTCATGAAAATCCCAAGCCAAAACCATATGATCACTCAGCAAGGCAAATCATCAAACACCAACTTGACAATCATGACAGCTAAAACCACAGAACTTTCTCCCACAATGAATGAACAAAACAACCCACCAATTATCCATTCAATTCAAGAAAATTCCAAGCCAAAACCATATGATCACTCAGCCAGGCAAAACATCAAACACCTATCGTGCACAAAATCAAAACACTTACTCGAAATCCACCCGCCCGAGCTTCTCAACCGTGTCAGTCCAGATTAAACCTGGAAAGCAATCTACAAACATAAACATCATCAGTTCATCACCCAAAAGAGATCAGAACAAAAGGGAAAAAAAAAAAAAAAAAAAAAAAAAAAAAGAGACCCACCGACGAGGAAGACCC